AATAATCTGGCAGAAAAAGCCAAACGCTCCAACCGGCGGCTCAAGTCCCAAGTGTTGCTCAAGAAATACGTCATGAGGCGGCGCTGGAAGGTGCGGGATCCAGCAAGGGCATGAGGGTCAGCAGCTTCTGAGGGGGCTGGGAGGGGGCTGCCAGACTCTGCCTGTCCTGGTGGATGGCATCTGGATCATGGAAGATGGCTCTGTCTCGCTGTGCTGCAGGCAGCTGGGACACAGGGCTGGGGACCCTTGAGTGTGGATGCCCCCATCAAACATAGGTTCCTTTGTGGTGGTTATTCCTGAGCCGATCCCAGGAGCAGCTTTTAGGGGCAGGAGTAGTGTCAGGCCCAAGAGCAGGGTCTGGCTCAACCTTCAGTGCCATGGCCCTTGCCAGAGGATGAGAATCTTTCCTCTTCTCTTTCACAGAAAAATTTCATTGGAGTGTGCGCTGCCAACCGCTTCAGGAAGATCACCAGCTCGGGGTCCCTGACAGCGCTGGGCATCTGAGCTGGGCTGCCGGGGGAGCCGAGGCCAGAAAGAAACCACTTGAGAGGGACCCCCACCAGTCTGGAGCAGCTCTGTCGAGCTGGTCCCCCTGCGCTCAGGACCACATCACCGCTGGGGGTGCTCGCAGTGGCCTTGAGGCTCCTGAGGCTCCAGCCCTCCTCACTCCCACCGAGCCGATGCTCCTGTCGGGATTTCCTCAGACTGTGAGGCTGCTCCGGAGTGAAGGTTTCTGATCTCATCTCTGGCCCTGGCCTGGCTGCGTGATGCCCGACCTGCAGCATCTCTGCTGTGCTCACGCTTCCTTCTCGTGCCCTCGGAGGAGGAAGGCCATTCCGGTGTGATCCCGCTGTCTCGGCCACCTGGTGCTTGCTGCTTTTGGACTCAAAATGTGCCCTCTCTGCCTGTAAATGTCGCAGCCCAGCCTGCCTTCACTGCCGCTGGCTCCTGCACTGCCCGACCTCCCTTCCCAGCTCTGTGGCTCGGCGTTGATGCTGGAGGGCACCGCGGACCCTCACCCTGGTGCTTTGGCACCGGAGCCGGGGCTCAAGCACCTCCTCCTGGCCAGCTGGGCATGTGGGAGCGGAGCTGGCCCCGAGCTGCTGCTCGCACAGGAAGGGAGGAAGCAGCAAGCACGCTTCCAGCGGTGTCCCCAGCTGGGAGCCAAAGAGGAAAGAAGGAGGCTTTGTGTTCCTCCTGCCCTCCCTGCCCTTCGGTTCTGCCAGCGGGGGAAAAACACAACCTCTGCTTCACCCGTTCCCAACAGATCGCGATGAGCGAGGCGGGCTAATGCAGAGCAGCTGGCCCGGACTCCCCGCTCCGGCCGGCACCGCTCACCCGACCACCAACACAGCGGAACTGCTCCGCCGCTGCGGCCGCCAGCTCCCCCGCCCTGCGCGGGGGCTCTGCGGGACCTGCTGGGACTGGGGAGAGGGGTGCTACTCCAGCTCCCGTGCCTTGTCTAGATCCCCATCCTCCCTGCCTGCACCCCTCGGGCCTCCCCGGTGCTGCCAGAGGATGGACATCTCTTGGGATTTGCAGCATCCAGCCTTGCCCACTGCAGGTGGGGATGGGGTTGGCAACAGGTCCCCCAGCTTTGGCTTTTGTCATGGCTGAGCCCCCTCAAGCCAAGGCTGTGTGTTTGTTCTGCAGCTGCCTCTGCCCTCTGTGCCTGCTGGAAAAGCATTGGGAAGAGACACAGGGAGATATTGCCCCTCACCCCCGCAGCAGGGGAAGGGGCTTCAGGCTTGTCCCCACTGGGCAGGAGCCACAGCTGGTGGGACCCTGCCCATAATGGAGCCCTTCACAGCACTCGCCTTCTTGTAAATAAATGTACAGGTCTGCCCACAGCCCACAGCTGCCACTCCGGGGGCTGGGGAGGCCCTACTCCCACCTGTGGGGCCTGACAGTCACAGAATAAGTGAGATGAGGATGGGAAGCAGAATCTCATCTCTGTGATAGAGGGAATGGGTCCAGGCTGTGCTGTGGACAGGGACCACCTGGTACGTCCTGGGCAGGGCAGGGCAGGCAGAGTGCCAAGGGTTTCTGGTGTACACACCCAACAGCTCTGAGCACCCCAGGGAGATGGGGGAAGGGGAAGTGACTGGATGGATGGGTGGATGGGTCAGTTGTCTGTCAGATGTGTCCTCACATCTTCAGCATCTGCCCATATCGGATGGGATGCCCAGGCAAGGGCTGGTGCCCAGGGGAGCTGTGGCTGGCCCTGAGGTGGTTAAGGCTGCCAGAGCCCGGCTCCCCGCAGGCGTCCCTCCCAGCCGCTTCCTGCCGGCAGCCTTTGACCGGTTCCTGTCGGTGACCACCCCGCAGGCCTGGAAGCCAGCGCAGCCCCATCTGGTTTGAGTTACGCTCCACGGCGGTGACGTCTCCTTCCTGTCTGGCCCCAGGAGCCGCGCGTCGCCCCGGTCCCGGCCCTGGCCCCGGACGGCCAGGGACTGCAGGGCCCTGCTGTGGGATGGCCACGGGGCTTCTAGATGGACCATCAGCCCCGAACGTTCTTGGCACTCTGAGCTGCTGTAGAGGATCAGTTCCTGAACACAGGCCCGTGTATGCACATCTGGGGCAGAGGGATGCACAGACACCAACACATCCCAGGGTGTGGGACCCCTACCCCACAGCCCAGTTTGATTTCTCCAGCCCTGGGACCCTGCAGAGACAAACACTGGGGCTGGATGAGTGGGGCCACAGGGCTGACACCCATGGAAGTAGCCATAATCCCATCCTATGTTCCCAGCTGACAGGACTCGTGAGCCCCTAAAACTTATTGGAGTGGACTGGTCCCACTGGCCACAACATCCAGGTCCATCCCTTATGTGTAGGGTCCTCATCCCCCCAAAGATGCACGGTGCAGTCTGGATGTGCACACGTGTGTCCTCAGCATCTGTCCCCGGGGCATGGAGCAGCACGCATTCCCCATGCACCCCGTTCCTGTGGCACCCACCCTGCCTGCAGAAACAAGGATCCCCGCAGGCAGAGCAGGGAGGGAAGGGGAGCGGGCAGACCTCCGGCCCTGGCACCTGGCAGCACCGCCGGCAGAGGCAGCAGGTTCATCCGTGACCGAGTGCAGCAATTCCCGGCCACGGCACGGCCCAGGATGGGAGCGGGCGAGCGGGCGGAGGATCAGGCCACCCACAGCGAGCCGGGAGCGAGCCAGGGAGGAGGCAGAACTGGGAGAACAGCGGGTCCGTGACCGGCAGTCGGGGTGAGGACGGGAGAGGGGAGCACTGGAAGAGTGCATGGCTTTGATCGGCACTCCCGGGCGGTGTAGGCTGCGCAGGACAGCAGTGCCCATCCCTTGGGGCTGCTGCAGTTTGGGGGACAGTGGGATGTGCCACACTGCTCCCAGCACAGGCACCCCATCCCGGGCACAGCATGAGGCCAGGGCCGTGTGTTCCCAGCCGGGGCGGGCGATGGGCCCGGCCACGCTGCGTGGGAACCAGACGGCCCCTGGGCACGGCTGCAGCGCTCGCTTCCTCCCGCGCCCCCGGGGACCGTGCGAAGGAGGGGGCTGAGGTCAGCCGCGCTCGCCGCCGGCCGCTCCGGAGACGCCAGCATGATGTAGGCGCTCAAATATTGTTTTCCACTGGGTAGGGGAAAAAAGGGAGAAAAGAGAGGCCCAGGGTTGAGTGGCGGTCCTCGATGATGAAGGGCGGCCCCTCCCTGCCCTGCCGGGGCTGGGACACAGCCATGGCCCAGCAGCAGCCGTCTGGGGGCTGATATCTGAGCTGACGCGGCCGCGGTGCTCCCGGTCCCCGAGTGACGGCAGTGTTCCTCCGTGCCAGCACGGCCCCCGCAGAGACCCTTGAGACTGGCCAAACTGGAGTCCCCCTGGCTCTGGGGAGCTGGAGGGACTTTTTTGGTCCCCATATCAGCCAGCACGGAGAGCTCCTGCCAGCCCTGTGTCTATCCTGGGGCTGGCTGTGCCATGGGATCTGGCTGTAGTTGCTCCTTTTTCCAGCCTGGGGTTGGCAGGATGGGAGGTGCAAGCACAGCCCCCCACTTTGCCAGCATCACTGTCGCCCCACTCCAGTGCTCAGAGGCTCTGACTCGGATGTCCCAGTGCTGTGTGGGAAGGGGTTGGTGGCCAGGACCCATCCAGGGGCTTTGTGGGGACCCTGCTCTCTCCAATGTCCCCCAGACTGGCCAGTTGGGGCATATCCCTGTGCCCAGCCCAATGTCAACAGCGGTGACTCAGCTGGTGCCTCTTCACTGGCAGCCGCCCTGCATGATTCAGGTCGGAGGAATCCACTTTTCTGGCTGTTCCCATCAGAGCTGCAGCCCCTGGCACAGCCCATCTTTGGGGCTACCCTGGTCTCGGAGTCTGCAGGAACTAGGTGGAATCCCAGCCAGGCACTGACACAGCCACGAGCAAAGACGAGGGGGGCAGGGAGCCCTGCCCCCCTCATAGCAGAGCCTCCACACTGTGCCACAACCCCTGGTGCCTCCCCACAGTCTGGGGCAACACGAGTTCATTTGCAGGGCCACACACTGAGGCTGGTGCCACTTGTGCCACGTGTGACACCCTGTGCAAACCCAGAAATTTGGAGGGATCTTAGGCACGGGGAAGTGACAGTGGGGCTCCACTGGGGGATAACTTCTGTTGAAGCACATCCCCCTGATCCCCAGGGACAAAGTTCCCTTACATTACCATGGGATGGCTCTTCAGGGGCTCCTGGCCCCACATTGTGGCATTCGTCCCCAGCATCTATCTCCCTGGAACACAGGACCTGGGTGTAGGTGGTCTGACCCTGGCCATGCCCCATCCCCGCATGGCTTCACCATCCAGTCAGTGATCACTGATGGAGGGACTGGTGGGGATGGAGGCTGTGCCAGGTGGCCTTGGGCACGCGTATCCCCCAGCCAGCACGTGAGCTGGGGCTGAGGGTCCCCAGCTTGCCCCTGCCCGCTGCCCACCTCGAATGGGGCACAGAGACCACAGAGGCAGCATTGGGGAATGTGCTTTATTAGGTGCTGGTTTGTCCCAGGGTGGGGAGTTCCTCACTCGAAGAAGAACATGCCAGGTGTTCGGTAGAGGCAGGGGGGCAGCCCCAGGGGGTAGCCATTACCCCCTTGCAGTGGGATCGTGGTCCCTGGCCCCCATGGCTCCTTCTGCTCACCTGCCCGTGGCCCCATGGCCCCGAAGGGTGCCTGGCGGGGCGCGGTGGAAGCCGGGGGTGCTGCAGCCAGGAGATGCTCCAGCGCTGTGCTGCAGGGTCGCTCCTTCATGCAGAAGCTCAGCGCCTGCACCCGGCACTGGTAGCTGCTGCCCAGCGCCTCGGGGCCCGGCCGGCTGAAGGAACCGAACACGGGCAGGTGGGGCTGCGTGTAGCCCTCTCCCTCCAGGAAGCAGGATGGAGAGGGCTTGCCCGTGCCTAGGAGGTTGCCAGGGAATGCAGGTGGCACCTGCCCGAATGGCTGGCACGGCCCCAACCCAGGGGCAGCCAGCTCCTTGCCCTCCAGCTGCTCTGGGGGAGTGTCTGGGGTGGCCGGCGAGTCCTGCGGGGGGTCCCTGTGCTGGGTGGGCAGCAGGGCAGGCAGCAGGGCAGGGTGCTGGTGCTGGGCCGGGCGCTCACTGGGCAATGGGTACTGACCTGGCCTGGGCAGCTGCAGTGCCGCCGGGAGCCCCCCGAAGACAGTCTCCTTGGGCGGGCGGCTCTCAGGGGGTGTGAAGAACGGCCCCTTGGGCTGTGGCATGTCCGGCAGGTACAGGCAGGGCTGCCTGGCCTTGGGCGGCTGACGCCGGGCACAGGGCTCAGCGCAGCCCGGCACCCCGGCACCCTCGGGCACAGCGGCAGGGCTCGGCAGGCGTGCTGTGGCCGACGGCGAGGAGTAGCCCCCCTCTGCCTTCCCCTCCTCCGGCAGCGGGGCAGTGGGCAGCCCTCGCTGCCTGGGGGTCTTCCCGCGCCCTTCATCTCCCTCAGTGCCTGGAGCATCCCGGAGGCCCCTCTTCCTGGTGAAGCGCCGGCGGCGCCGCAAGAAGCTGCCGTTCTCAAACATGTTGTAGCAGTCTGGGTCGAGGGTCCAGTAATTGCCCTTTCCCGGCTTCTTGTCATCACGGGGCACCTTGACGAAGCACTCGTTGAGGGAGAGGTTGTGGCGGATGCTGTTCTGCCAGCCCTGCTTGTTCTCTCGGTAGAAGGTGAAGCGGCCCATGATGTAGCGGTAGATGCCGCTGAGGGTGATGCGCTGCTCGGGCGCGCTCTGGATGGCCATCGTGATGAGGGCGATGTAGCTGTAAGGTGGCTTGGTGGCCTCAGCGCTGGGGAAGGCGCCACCGGCCGGCTCAGGAGCCGGTGGGCTGCGCAGCGCCGCGTCGCCGACGGGGAGGTCCGGCTGCATCGTCCCGGGCGGCCCCCGCCGTTCCAGCTCTGCCGCTGCTCCCGATCCCGCTCCCGCTCTGCCGCACGGCCCCAGCACGGCCCGTTAAAACGCGGCGGCCAGAGAGGGGGCGGCGGCCCCTCCTCTGAGGGGCCGCCCAGGGCGGAGCGGGACTCTGCCGTCCAGCACTGGTCCCTGTGGACAGACGGACGGATGCGCCGCCAAGGCCCGCGGCCAGCAGCCAGTGGCCCCGGGGTTGGCACGGCCGCGGCCTCCCCAGGGCAGAGGCGGGCACAGCCCCCGCCTCCCCCAGCCCCTTTTCCCACGGAAGGTTCCCACGACTTGTTTCTCATCCTGCCTTGCTCACGGTGAGCAGCTGGGTTCTGGGTGGGCCTGGAGTGAGGCTGAGTGAGGGATGTTGGCAGGACTGAGGGTGCTGCCTGCCCTCAGATGCCCATCTGCCCCCTGCTCACCCCAGTGTCTCAGCTCCTGCCCCCAGCTTGGATCCTGTGCCAGGTCCCTATATTGTTCCCAAAACTCTGGGCACAGCACAGGCCCCAGGAGCCTCATCACACCTTTCATGAGTGTAAGCAGACACAGGTAGTGACTGCCTTTGGGACAGCCTTCTGTGTTGCCAAGTCAGCAGAGCAGCCAAAGGCACCTTGCTGCTGCCTTCACCCCTGCCAAGGGGCTGGGACAAGGGGCAGGACAGGTCTGGAGCCAGTGCTGGGGCAGGGAGTTGTCTCACACTGTTTCCCTGTGTTTGGGGCTGAGCTGGCTTTGCCCACATGAAGCTCTGTCTGGGCTCAGATGGAGTCCAGACTGGCTCCATCTGTGGAGGCACAGAATGACAGAGAATGGGCACAGGTCTGTGTCCCTACCTTGCAATGGTCCCTGTGCCTGGCTAAGGGGTCGCCAGCCCCAGTGGGTACTCACGTGAGCCATGATGAGCTTCTGGAAGCGGTACCCAGCTCTGGACCCAGCCACCTGTGCTCTGCTTGGACCAGAACCAGCCCCCCACACCACAGCCAGCCCCTAATACCGATATGAAAATACAACCTTTATTTCCAAGATTTGCAACAGCGAGTCCTGACAGTGCAAGGTTCAAGGGCAGAGCCAGGCCTACCCTGGCTTGCCGAATAGGCACACAACAAATCCCACCTGGGGGACTCCTGGCGAATAAATACAGCAATCATAGGGGTAGCAGCACCTGCCCACCCCAGCTAACATCTGTCTTTGTCTGGTCCTGCACTCTGAGCAACCTGAGGCCTCTTCCTTGGGACATGCAGCTGGAGTGGGGCCATGGGGCTCAGAGCCTCCCACTCTGAGACTTTATGGCAACTGAGCTCTTCTCTCCCACCCAGTTCAGGGCTGGCAGAGCTGTTTGAGGACATGGAGAACGTGGCTGGAGGTGCCAGGGGCACAGGGCTGGGGGGAATTGCAGAGCAGCGTCGGCCTCAAGCGCTGGGCATGATGGAAGAGCTCCCGTGCAAACACTGGCTCCACCTGCAGAGGCACAGAATGACAGAGGATGGGCATAGGTCTGTGTCCCTGCCTTGCAATGGCTCAAGGGTCACCAGCCCCAGTGGGTACTCACGTGAGCCATGATGAGCTTCTGGAAGGGATGCCCAGCTCTGGTGGGGTATTCCTCCCCGAAGCACAGGTAGATCTGGTACTGTGGCATGATCTGCCCATTACTCAGGTACTCCCGCACCTCTGCAAGACACCAATCCTGTCAGGGGACATGGGGTCCTGGCAGCCTGCATCAGCCACACCAGGGCAGGACCTGCCCCTCTTCCCAAGAGGAACGAGGTCTCCCAGGAACTTACGCTGTATGTACTGCTGCGTGTCCAACAGCTTGTAAGTTCTCTCCCTCTCCAACTTGTTGGGCCAGTTCTTGTGCGGGGCCAGTGGCCCGTTCCAGTACACCCTGCCCTGGCACTGGCGCTTCATGAAGACCCCCTCAGGTGCTACCCACAGCAGCACCCCACGCTCCAGGTGGGGCAAGAGCCGCTCCAGCACGTCAGTCATGCAGGCCACGTGGCCATGGCCACTGAGCACCTGTGGTGAGGGGAATTTTATCTGCTCCATGCAGGAGGGGCCGTAGAGATGCTCGCTGTCGGCCGGCACGGCACTGGTGGTGATGCGGCAGCCCTCGGCCGTGCGAGTGGTCACCTCCTTCACCAGCACATCGCAGTAGTACAGGCGGATGTGGAGCCAGCAGTCTGGGGCAAAGGGAGGGTCAGTTCATGGGCAATCTGGGCTGGTAGGGCCACCCAGGGCATGGCCACCTGTAGCATGGCTCCTACCTGAATTGTTGACATCCTCCACAGGGAGGTAGGACGGGGGTCCAGGCAGAAGCTGGCCATGGGTCGAGTTCCAGCCATAGAAGACTCCCCTCACAAGGCACCCTGGACCAGGGCAGAGATGAGGTGGTAAGAGGATATGGACAGTTACCCCAAGGACGCCCAGGCATTCTCTTGGCCCAAGCCCCTGGGCCCTCACTTCCCACTGTGTTTGCCCATTACTGGGCCTCATTATATCCATGGCTTTGCTGGGGTAGGGTAGGAGTCCTCATACCTCGTACCTCGTACCTCATACCTCAGTCCCCATAGGGGTTGCCTGCAGGAGCGCAGGAGAACAGGATCCTGGCAGAAGTGTGTGCTCCCTGCCCTCAGCCCCATCCCACCGAGAGGGACCCTCCTCACCTCGCTCGGTTGGGTGACCAGAGAGCCAGGGCTGTGGAGACACGTGGGCACTCTCCAGCATGTCCTTCTGGCATTCCTCCTTCTTTGGACTCCCCGCAGTGCTGCCCTGGGGGTAGGAGCAGCTTTGGTGAGGGCTGAGCTGGCAGAGAGGGATTCTGACTCTACAATGGGCCCCATAAGCCAGCAGATCCCCTGCCAAAGTCTGGCAGTGCATGGCACAGGAGACTCTCTGATGCCCCGTGGGACAAATGCAGGCAGTGTGCAAGTGTGGGAGCAGCTGATGGGTGAGGGGGGAATTTGAGGGTCCCACCTTCTCCCCTGCCTGGATGGCACAGGGCAGGCTCACCTGCTGGTCCTCACTGCCTGGGGACTGTGTGTCACTGTCCTCTGTAGAGAGCAAGAAAGAATGGATGAACCCCTGGTAAACGGCAGGAACAACCCCAGGGAAGACAGCTGGCTGACTGGGACACCCAGAGAGGAAGAGGAGTGGGGAGGAAGAGTAATGTCTGTGGGACACGGGGCTTGTACAGGCATGTTTCAGGTATCAACCCCACATCTAGCACAGCAGGAGGGACAGCGGGGACTTACCTGCATCACAGGCTCTGTCAGTCACGATCTGGTAAACCTTGTAAGGCTCGGAGATGTCCAGCTGGCTCCGCTCGGGCACCTCCTGGAAGTCGCTGCTCTTGTTGAGGGCGCAGCGCAGCCGCGTCTTCCAGGTGGAGGGGTCGGCCTTGTCCGTCCCTTCATGATACTTCCCCTTGTAGACGGCCCAAGCCTGCAGGACAGAGAGTGCCCTGTGCACAACCTCACCCGCATCTCGTCTGTCCAAGGGGATCCACCGGGCTATGAGTCCACCGGGGTGGGGGGAAATTGAGGAACCGGGGCTGTGTGTCCTGGGGGACTGCGGGGAACTGGGTGCTGTGGGGTCACACGGGAGCACACGGAGCTGGGCAGCCAGGAGCCCCGGGAGTGTGCACGGAGCTGGGAGGTGTGTGCCAGGGGTGTGCATGGAGCCAAGTCCCAGCGCTGCGCACAGAGTCAGGTCATGGAGAGCCCTGTGGAGGTGCACATGGAGCTCGGCTGCACGGAGCTGCGTGAGCGATTCCGGGGTGCGCACGGAGCTGGGCAGTGGAGACCCCCTCGGGCAATGGGGAGGCCCGGGCAATGAGGAGCCCCGGGAGTGCACACGGAACCCGGGAGTCAGTCTCAGGGACGCTCCCAGGGTCGCGTGGGGACCGCGGGGAGCCCGGAGTACCTTGAAGAGCGCAGCATCCTCCTGCTGCCGGTAATCCTGCTTGGACGCGTGCTTCCAGGGGATGCGGAAGAGCGTTCGGTGCCGATTCTCCCAGCGCAGCCCCGGGTACCGGCCGCTGTCGATCTGCGCGATCAGCCACTCCTTCAGCCGCATGGGCGCCCCCGGCTCCGCCATCGCGGCCCGGCGACGAAACCGAAAGCGGCTCCTGCTTTCACTTTCCCTTTCCTGGCCCACGCTGCAGGTTCTGGCTGGCCCAAGGCGGAGTGGGGGTGGGGGGACGGGTGTTAAATTTTTTTCTCTGCTCCACTTTTCCCCAAGCAGCAGCTTCAGACATCCGTGTTCAGGAAAAAGTGATGTAATTGAAGGTTACAGCAACGGGAAGAGCTGGAGCTGGTGCCTCCAGGAGGGACCCCCAAAAAAGGCATCCCCGAGGTTTCAGATGCTCACAATGTGTGCACCCATGTACACTAGTTGTGATTTTAGGCTCTTCCCGCTGTTCATTGGCTCCTGCGGAGGCTCTGGGTGATTTACCCCCCGCCACCCCGGGCAGTGCCCTTTGTTAGGCAAAGGGTGGGCGCACATTCCTGCCTCTTGCCTGGGGCTCCAGCCTTTTCCTGCCGTGCAGAACACAATGTGCAGCTCGCACTGGTAATTTACATACCAAGATACCTGCACTAGGTGTATTTCTCAACACAGGCACCCTGCACTCGCAGGACAAGGGACAAAGGATCAGAAGGCACATGGAACTCTCCTGCACCCCTCCCAAATGCTTCCCCTAAAACTGTCAGGTCTCCACATGCTCCCCGAAGGGGACAAGGGACCCTACTCCCTTTACTTCCTGCTTTGGGGCCCCAGACAGACACATCCCAGCTCCAGGGGCTGCGTCCTCCCATGGACCAGCTGCTCACTCGATGGGTATGGGGAGCTGCAGGGAGCTGCGGAAAGAGCACGGGGTTTCCAGGGTGGTGTGAACAGTCACATGTCCCAAGGGCTGCCGGGACCGGGGTGGGACACATCCTGCACCAGCTCATCCCTGGCCCCCAGCAGGGCACGGGCTGGGTCGCTGGGCCACTCTGAGGGGACGCTGGTGTTGGGTCTCCATCACTGCTGCAGAGTCTCATGTCACTGTGCAGGGAAACCCTGCTCCTCTGCCCGACTGCTGCCCCCCCCCGCCAAGTCTCCTTTTGCAGTGCCCCAGGTCTCCTTTCCTGCTCTGAGTCAGAGAAAGTCACCTCTGGCCGACAAGAGAAGTGAAGTTCCTCAGAGCTACTGGGGCTGCAAAATCTTCAAATGAATAATCAGTGGCAGAGAGCCCAGTCCTGGGCTTTCCCAGAGGATGTGAGGACAGGGCACAGCCACATGGCACAGAGGGCACATGGGGCCACCCGGGGTGTAGGAGCAAGCCACACTGGCAGGGGTTTTCTCTCCTTACTGAGCCTGTCCAGGAGCCCTTTGTTGCAAAATGAAGCCCAGGCACCACCTGTGCCCCTCATCTGGGTGAGCTGTGGGGCCACGTTGTGGGAAAAAGGCCTGGGAACTTAGCGACAGAGAATCCACATCTCCCCTTTCTGCCTTGGGAAGCAGAGCAATGGCAAGGAGTCTCTGCACAGCCTCCCAGTGGCTTGCACTGATTACACCCAAGGCCAGGAGATAATCGCAGCCGCCGGCTCGTTTGTTCAGCCCCAGCCCGCCGGGAAAAGCTTTATCGGCCGGCCGGGGATTTCATGTGGTGTGGCAGCCCAGCCGCCTGGTGACGCAGGCCCCGGGGGATCTCATTACCCGGGCATCAGCGAGGACGCTCAGGAGCCAGATTCCCCACTGTATTCCTCATCGTGCTTCTCCCTTCTCAGAGAGGTAAAGCTGCCTAACCCTTGAAATTTTCATGCCAAAATGAGCTTCAAAAGGCAGTCAAACATTAACTCATATCTAACCCTGCCCTTGCCCGGGTTTTTCCAAGCTGTGTAAACCAGATCTGCCAAAATAAATACATTTTGCTGTGCTGTAGAGCTGAGCTGGAGGGGCCAGGGCCCTGTGTGGTTTACAGTGGGAACAGGGGAATTCCTGGGTATAAACACCTTGGCATAAGGTGTCCCAGTGTGGGAGGGTGCAGTTGTTCATGGGGCACTCATCCATACCAGATGCATGGTCCTGGGCTGCAGGGCTTCCACCCCACTGGGTGCTGAGGAGGCCAAAGGGTGCTGGAGAGCCTGGCCTGGGGGCGAGGGAGTGGGTAGAGGAGCCTGGAAAGAACTAGGAGGAGAGTGGGATCCCATGACAGATGGTGCAGGAGCAGTGAAGGATGATGCACCCCTGGTTATTCAGAGAGGGTGGAGCTCCCAGTCTGCCTGGGTCACCCCAAGGCAGCACCCAGCCCAGCAGGCAGATGACAGCAGCAGAAAGGAACCCTGGTCTTGAAACTCTGTCTCCTGGGGGATCCCTTCCCCCTAGCAGAGGGGGGCAGGGATGAGGGGGACTCCAGAAACATGCTCTGAGTCTCAACAGGGACAATGCTGGTGACCCAGCTGGGCATCCTCAGAATTTTTCCCACCTGGGAATCTGCTCCAGGAACGGGTGTAAACAGGACAGGTCTGGGGCTTGTGATATTCAGCTGGTGCCAGGCTCCCAGTACTCCCAGCAGCTAGAGCCAGCAGACTCCTGGACCTGGTGCTCCTGGATCCAGTGAGTGGAGAGGCTACAGTGAAACAGGCTCCAGATGAACTCCCACCTGCTGCTCCCAACCTCTCCTGGAGCAGCTTGTCGCCAGAGAGCCCTGCCCAGGCACTCACATTTCTGGCCTCCCTTGTCAACTTCCCACAAGACAGCAGGGCGAGTCCTGTCCAGGCATGCGTGTCCCCAGTCCACTCCAGAGCGTGGGCAGCAGCAGCTCCAGACTGGTCCCATGCTGGGACCTTCCCCCTTGGCATCCCCATTTCAACCCGGCCATCACAGGACAGTCAGACCACAGAGAAGGGTGTTTATTACTGGGGGACATAGAAAGTCTTTAAGCAAAATGGCTTAAGGCTCTGCTCTAGTGAGGTCTGGCCAGGTTAAATGCTTGGTTCCCACCTGTTACAGATTGTGCCCTGGGATAGGTGGGAATGGGGTGTGATGGATTCCTAAAACTACAGTGCTTGCTCAGGGCTTGTGCTTGGCCAGTCTGGAGCTGGAACATTGCCTGGGAGCCTGTGTGGTAGCATTACCTGCTGGCACACTGGTGTGTCCCTGCTCCACAGCAGCCTGGACACTGGGAGCTTGTGCTGCTGGTGGGAAAACCGCTCTGAGGGGAGCACTGGCTCTCCCGTACACCCTGAGGCCATGCAGTGGGTACCCACGTGCTAAAGCTGCTGCTGGCAACACCTGGGTACTGGCCTGTGGCAGAAGAAACCCCCTCTGTGTTCTGCCCCAAGCAGGAGCTTGCAGTGACCCAGGGGCAGAGACCTGTGTCCCCAGCACACCGGATGTGAAGATGAGCCCAGCATGTGCTGGAAAGCCCAACAGTGTCCATGAAACCTGCCCAGACAGAGGGTGGAGCGTTCCCAACCCAGAAGAGAAGGAGCTGGGCTTTGTGCAGGTCCCTGCCCAGTGCTCCCTGTCCCACTGTGTTGCATCTCCTTCAGCTCTCACAGGCTGTTGGGTGATGCTCACTGCTCTCCCTTGGCTTGGGTCACTTCAAACAAGCCGGGATGCAGGAGAACGTCCTCTTCACCCGCAGCAGGAAGGGACTTGTGCTCCTCATGTCTCTGGCTCTTGGGACCAGTCCTTGCACAGCTCCCTCTGTCTTGGATGTTCCTTCTCTCCCTACTGGCAGCAAGGCCTTTATTTCTTCCTCATCATTGAAAGGGGACGTCCCATACCTCTGCTTCAGGTGCTTGCGGACCTGGGGAAGGAGCGAGAGGTAAAATACAGTCCTAGTTTACAAGGGCAGGTCCAAGCCTGCCAGCAAGGGGAGCAGGGAAGAAACCGAGCCCCCTCAAGACTCGTCCTTGCTCTGAGACTCATGGCAGGCTCAGCCATGGAGCAGGGCACGGGAGGCAGAGGCCTGTCCCACCTTGCGGGCTGCGCTGCCGCCGAACTCAGACAGCTGCTGCCTGAAACCGGGGTTGGGGTTGGCGACGGGCCGGATGGTTCGGATGGCATCCAGCACCTCCTGGCAGCTCAGCTCCGTGACAACCATGACGTAGGCAACGACCACGGTGGTACTGCGGGAGATGCCAGCAAGGCTTGCAAGGGAAAATGCAGAAGAGCTGGCGTTAGTGCCACACCCTGACCCTATGCTTGTCTCTTCCTCCACCCCTGTGCCTCAGATATTTAAGTTCTTCTTTTCCAAGGACTTGCTCTCCCAGAGGCCTGAGACCTTCCAAGGTCCTGGCCATCAGTGCCTATAAATACCCACTCTACAGGGAATGGGAGCAGCAGCCGCTGCCTGGCTGTCTGCCCCAAACCCGCTTATCCCGTGGACTCAGCTGCAGCAAAAAGCTGCCCCGGCTCCACGACTGCCTTGATCCCGTTGGATTTGAGTCACAAGCCACAGCCAAGGGTGGATCCTGGGTGGGTCCACTGGCACAGAGCCCTCTGGCACAGGCTGGCTTTGATCAGGGGTTGCAGTTCAAGTTAGGGGCTGGGGGCTGTATCTGCTAAGCAGTAGGCACAGGGGAAGAAGCATTACCAGTGGACGAGGCAGTTCCCTCCATGCAGGCGACACTGATGGATAAAACTGATGCATTCCTTGAAGTGCCTCTTGCTAGCAGGAAAAATAAACCAGACAGAATAAGAACTTCAGGGGTGGAACAGCATTTTTAGCTGCAGGCAGAACAGCCCTGCATGTTTTAGCCAGCTACTGCTGAGACCTGAGCAGCTTGGTGTTGTTTATTACCAAAGAAAGGTGGATTTGCCAGCTCATTCTGTGCTGGGGACACAGAAGGGGACACTGTGCTGGGGATGCACGGGGCTGCCCTGTGACTTGTGTGACTCATGCTGGGGCAGTGGGACGCTGGCTGCTCGAATCTCCAGCCACGCCTGTGCCCTTAGCTGGCTCCACACCCTTTATGTGCTCTCCCCTCTCCAGAGGGAGATGCTTTCTGGGGGGATGCCTGCTGCTCCTCTCCATGGGTGCTGCAGAGTGGCTGCTCCACACCTCACCCCAGGGCTCGTACCCTCGCATCAGTCACTGAACTGGGATGCTGTTGGGGTCCAAGGGTAGTTCCCTGCACTGTGGCATCACATCTCCAGCCTGTGGGTCGTTATGCTTGAGAAGTTGGAGAAAGCACATGGAGGGCTTGAGAAACTGTGAACCCTCACCTCTGGTCACCCTCCTGCCTCCCTGCACATCCCCAGCCTCCCCAGGGTACTCACATGTTGGCTTCAGGGGTGTCAGGCAGGGGGATGCGGAGGTAGGTAATGTCCTGGAAGACAGAATAGGAAGAGGAGAAGCTCAGGCACTGCGGTCAGGGTATCATACATGGCCAGAGTGGGGCTGGCAGTGCCTTTGCTCCTTGCCCTACAGGGTTTTGCTTCCCCCACACAGAATCCCCCCTGCATGGGGATGGGGCCACACTCTCCCTGGGGTGAAGGGCAGGGCAAGGGGACACCAGCAACTTGTGGGAGGAGATAGGAAACAAGAGGAGTCTGGAGAGCTGGAAATTGTTTCCCGTCAGTGTTCAAGGCCGGGTTATAGACACAAGACAGCCAGTTTCCCATGCCGGTTTGGGATCATGGGATTGGTATTCCAGCTCCTCTGGGATCAGTGACCTGGGAGAGGTGTACGTGCCATGGGATGCTCAGAGGGGGAAGGAAGATGCAGCATGGAAGGAGCTGCAGGGATTTACAGGGTGACATCTGGTGCAGAACCCTACCTTCAGCAAGGGCTGGGGGGATTCATGGATCGAAACAATGTGGGTGATTTTGTTCCGGCTTAGCTGCTCCAGGTCTTTGGCATCTGAAAGATAAAACTAGACATCAACATGTATTTATTTCCTACCCTTCTCTTCCCACAGTGCTCCCACCCTGCTTCTACAGCCAGCCAGCACAGAGCCTTGCTCCAGCAGATCGACTGCATCCCACCCCCACATGCAGCAGTGCAGACATGGGCAAACATGGAAACCTGGAATACCAATCCCATGATCCCAAACCAGAGGCCTCTCCCTGATCCTTTCTCCTTGCTGCTCATGCTAGTTGAACAATTCACACCCCCACAGAAACACTCGGAGTCAGCAGGTAGTGTCTCTCCTGCCTGTACTTGTCCCCACTTTGGGGGGAGATCTGTGCCCTGCCCACCCCTCCTTGAGCAGACACATACATAGCACTGGGACTTGCTGCAGAAGAGATCTGCTTTATCTTGTAAACTGTGGAAGTGGAGCTGCAGCAATTTACATCAACTCTGATTTTCTGTAGAAACGTCTGAACTTGCTGCTCTCTGGTCTGTTTTCTGTTCTCTCTGCAGCTGTGTGGACAGAAATGGGGTGTCCTTGGCTGTTTGGGGTGATGCCCTGCCTCTCATCAATGCTTCAGCATTCTGGATGTGATCCTGGCCTCTGGTCCAGCACAGCAGTTGTTGCACAGGGAGGGGAGCGTGCTTGTCTTGCTGAGCAGCTTCCGAGTGCCTCCCTTTCATGCCACAACCAGCAGATGCAGCAAGCGCGGCCAGAGAGGAGGGGAAACATTTCCCCATCTCATTCTTCTGGGTTTCTAAACTTTCACGTGGTGTAAAACCTTGGCTCAGGAATCCAGCCCGGATGTGCTAACAGCATGATGTGAATTTTAATAGGAGTGAGTCTCAAGGGAGATGCTCTGCAGGGAAGCTGTGATCTGTGAGGCGAGGGAGATGGGGACCCTTATGGGGACTCAGACACCTGCCACTTTCCAATCCACCTCAGCAGGCAGTGACAGCAAATGGTGACACTGGAATCAAGGCTTACTGGGGCTGGAAAAGCTTCCAGTTGGAGGAAATGTCTCTGTGAGCTTCATGTTGCAGGCCTAGAATCTTGTCACCCTGGATTGCCTGGCAGAGTTAGGAGTGTTTGGATGGCATCAGGCCTAGGCCCCACAGCAGAGGCTGCTCACAGAAACCCCCTGATGACCCTGTCAGCTGGGTGCCCTTGTCCCTCTGCTCCCAGCAAGCCACAGCCCACCCAGCCCAACCCAAAGTGCTCCATGGGGCACAGGGAGAACAGGGCTGCCACTCCAGTGACATTTCCTTAGCAATTCATACCAGTGGTTTTAAACTTCCACAGCGCTTACAGCAGGAATCAGGGTGGCAAAGGAGCCATCAGGGAGGCAGGAGTACCCATAAATGGTGGTTTGTCATGGCAGATGCCAACACTTGGTCATTAACTATCCCCTGACTATGAAAATTCCTTAACACAGTGACTTGGTGTGACTTGTTCTGCCTCTGGGAAATTCCCTCCTGAGGGTGGGCAGCCCTCTCTGGCCTCTTCTGCAGCTGCAAAACTGGTAAGCATTACCCTGAAGTGCCCCAGTCCTGCTCCCTTGCACCCGTGTGGCACCACCAGCTCCTCTGCTCTATGGGATCCATATTTCCTCCTTGGCTCCTTTCCCCCATGTACCCCAAGAGCTCAGGACAGCCGTTAAATAAGGAAACCATGCAAAGGCAGGGGTCTCTGCTTTGCCTTTCCTACAGTGTCTTCACTCCCACTCCTGCCAACCCAAACTGGGCGACAGAGCAGAGCAGGCTGCGGATGCAGGCAGAGCAGTGGGTGCAGGCAGGGTGGTGGGTGCAGGCAGGATGTCAGGCAGCATTTGCAGGCAGGGAGACACCAGCTCAAGCAAACCTCACTCCCCAGCTGGAGAACATCTCTTCAACAGTTGGCTCCACTTACCAACGAAGTTCCCAAGGTAGAGGCCAGGAAGGATCTGTGGGACACAAGGGGAAGTGGCAGTGTAAGCAGTGACCTTGTGCTGTGGTACCCACTCTGCTGGGACCCATACTGGGAAGTAGTGACCCTGGTTGGAGGGGCTGAAGTTCTGGCATTGACATGACTGTCACCAACCCCAGGATGGGAACGATGCCAGGGCAGCTGGACTTGTGCCTTCCCAGGGCTGCCACTGCCCTGGCATCCAGGATGTAGCCCCGGCACCTGCAACCACCTGGCGCTCTCATGGGCACTGGGATCCAGACACAGCTTTTTTATTGCTCCTCTTGTTTATCATCAATCAGTCCTCTGTTGGGGTTTATTACCTGAGCTCAGCAAGTTGCATACACCTTTGTACAGCCTTGGATTATACCCGTGACCTGTGGAAGCCCTGCTGCTCGAGGGATGGGAAAGCAACAGGCACAGAGAAGCTTGTAGGGGATGTAGCTTCCCCCAGCCCTGAGCTTCACTCCCCTCACTCTGCACTGCAGGAAGCCCATTTCTCACAGCCCAGGCACAGATTGCTCTGGACACTATGCCTTCACCTCATTTCCCCTGGGAAATTCCACTTCTCGTGATGAAAAGATAATTACTTGACAAGGCCTCTGTTCACAGCACTGCAGATGCAGAAGCAGGACACCTTGCAAACCTTGTAATCCAGAGCTATTTTATATTCGCCCTCACACACAGCCTGGGCAGTGAGTTCAATCCTGTATCCAGCCGGTTCTCCGCCAGTTTCTCCCTGCAGCAATATTTGGTGCCCAGGGCAGGTGGAGGTGATTTTCACCAGCACATCTGGACTCACACTTGTCTCACTGCTCACATTTGGAAACGTTTCTCTCGAATGAACAGCTTAAAGAAAGGGGTTTTTTTTTGTGATTCCTGCGATTTTAGATCAATTTCCTATCGACGGGGTGCCTTTAACTCGCAGCTGCGGCACTGAGCGGAGCGGGTGGGAGAGCGCCAGTTAGCAAGGGCAGTTCCCAAGGGCAGGACACTGAACCATGAATAAACAGCATGTGCCTGTCCCCAGCACCCTGCTGATCCGCTCCTCCGAGGAGAAAACGGGGCAGCACATAAATAAAATAGTGTCCATCCCCTCTGCCCCGTGATACCGAGCCCCTCGCACAGCACAGACCCGCTGAGCAGGGGGTGCGGGGCCACCAGGCTCGGGGTCATACAACGCTCCCAGCGTGTGCTTAGTGCTGGTTCCTCGGGATTAAAGGTGTTGGGAAAAGTTCCCCCCTTCCTTGAAGGAACACACTGTGACCCCTGCCCTCCACTCCCCCAGGGCAGCTGTCATCTGTCCAAGCGCAGTGTCCCTGCCTGTTTCACCTCCGGTGTTGCTCTGCCGACAGATAAACAAATAATCAAAGAACCGAGCCCCGTGCCGGACCCGGTCCCGGCAGGTGAAACGCCGCTTGGCACGGCAGAGGCAGCCGCCAGGTAAGGGTCTCCCACCTCCAGCACCGGGCATGGCCGAAGTGCAGAGCAGCCGCCCCAGCCTCCCCGTTACCTGGCTCATGCCGTTCCCCATGGCCGACGGCGGGCGCCGGGGGTGGGGACGGGTCGCCGGTGTCCTTGTCCCCAATGCTGCCGTCCTCCCCGTCCCCGGGCGCAGCTGCCGTCCCCGCTGCCTGGTCGGCTTCCCGTCATGAAGAGCTTGGCTCCCCCGGGATCGCTGCTCGTTCCCAGCGCGGCGGGGCCGGGTCGGTGGCTGTGCCGGGGCAGAGGGGACCGCGGCCGCCGTGCTCCGCGGCTCCTGCCGAGGCCCTTCCCCGGCTGCTCCGGCGCTGCCGCGCACCGGCTGCTGCCTGGCCGGGAGCAGACAAAGGAGGAGAAACTCCCCCCCTGCGCCGTGGCGTGGGAGCACGGGGCCGCGCTGGCTGCTGCCTGTCGCCGCTGCCCGCGGCCGCACAAGGCTGCACTGTTGGGAGAAGAACAAAACCTTTGTCCTGTTTCATCAAGGAAGGTCTGTGCGGCCGCGCGGCGAAGCGCCCGGCAGCGTGCCCACCTCTGCCCACGCCATGCCCACCCCTGCATGCACCATACCTATCCCTGCCCTGCCCTGCCCGCAGCGTTCCCACCCCTGCCTGCACTACACCTCCCCTGCCCTGCCCGCTCCAAGCCCACTCCTGCCCGTGCCCACCTGCAGCCAGGTGCCGCAGGATCCCTGCCTTGCCCGGAGGGCTGCAGGAGTGTCCTGGGGACTTCGCAGGGCCGCAGGATGGGCAGCGCCAGCGAGGAGCAGGGCTGAGGGGCTCCCCACCACTGCGTGTCGCCTCCAGGGCGCAGGGAGAGTCCGGCCGGGGGTCCTGGGGCCGGGGCAGGGCGGGGGGATCCGGCCGGGGGCTGAGGGGGCAGTGTGGGGAGGCGGCTGCCGAGAGCGCCCCCTGGCGTGCAGCCGCGCGGTTGCCATGGGGACGGGCGGGCTCCGGCGCCCTCAAAGGCCGGCGGGGGTCGGGGGTCGCGGCCAGGCTCAGAACGGGGCCCGGAGGGTTCCCACTGCGTTCCCGGTGGGTTCCCGGCTCTGTATCCCAACTTCTGCACATTCCCGGGGCAGCATGTTAAGCCCCACATGCGTCGTGTGTAGGTGAGGGCAAGGATATGCCCCCCTCCTCAAGCCTCCCACAGTGTATGGGGAGTACGGTTGGTATCTATGGGCAGGTTTAGATACTACAGGTATAATAAATTAATTAGGTTGGAGAAGACTTCTGAGATCATAGAGTCCAACCTATGACTGAACACCACCTTGTGAACTAGACCAGGGCACTGAGCACCACTCCAGTCTTTCTTTAAACACCTCCAAGGATGGTGACTCCACCATTCCCTGGGCAGCCCATTCCAGTATATAAACACCTACAGCCCTGTCCTCTCCTGGGCGATGTCTCCTGCAGCACAGTGGTTGAGCAGGATGTAATCCCAACAGGAGCCTTAGCCACCACCAGGCGTGGCATTTGAGCAGCCTGGTCTAGTGGAAGGTGTCCCTGCCCATGGAAAGGAGGCGGAATGGGATGAGCTTTTAAGGTCCCTCCCAACCCAAACCAGTCTGTGACTTCATGGAGGGAGGTTGGGTTGGTTTGTAGCACTGGGTTGACCAGCAGTGGTTCAGGAGTGCTGTCCCTGAGATGCAGCAGGGTAACTGTGGGCAGCTGCCTGCCTTGGAGAGGGGGATGCTTGCTGCAGAAGAAAGCTACAGCAGGAATGGTGGGACATGGATTGTAAGACTTGCTCTGTTCTAGCTCCCAGTGTTCATGCAGAGAGACAGAAAATTGAAATTGATCCTCTTCCTTCATAAAAAAAACCCAGTTCTCAGTGGTACCCATATTTATTTATTTTTCCTCTCAGAATATGTAGTGCAGTTGATCCCCAGAAGCTTCTCAAGGGCAATTAAAGCAAGTCATACTGTGGGAGCATTTGTTGTGCTGAATCTTGTCTTTTTCTACCCAGCTGAGTCAGAACAGCTGCTCAGCAAAGGATCTGAAGAGGTTTCGGAAGCAGTTAGAAAGGGAAGCGGGAAAGCCTGAGGCAAGAAAGAGTGCCTTTATTCTGAAGACCCTCAAAGTGCCTTCAGACTACTATTTGTTTGTGGAAGAATTTTGTAAGATCCCTGGCATCACTTGGGTTATGAAACTGGTAAGTGTGTGCTCTCCCAAGGAAAGTGAGAGATGAATGGATGCCTTCGTTCTTCAGAGGGAGAGGAAAATATGCAGGAAACCCGCAGGAAGAATTGGGCAGAGCAAGGTTACATGGAGTAGCCATGCTCCTGGCCAGGTTCCTGATCAACATGTACCACCAAAACACTGCTTCTTGTGTAAGAGTTTATTTCAGCAGCCAAAAGTCAGCTCAGTTTATTTGTAGAGCCAAAGTTAACTCAGTGGTGAAGGTATAAAGTGCAGAGTTCTGTATGGAGGAACAGACTGTGCTCCCAGGGGTTCTGGCTATGGGGTTATGGCTGAATTCATGCTCTGAAATCTTTCTGTTCAACTGCAGGTGTGCAAGAAGGTGTGTGCAGGACAGGTGCCTAATTGGACTTCTGGTTAAGGAACATTAGGGCAGCCCCCAAAGATGGAGCTCTGAAAACATCTGTTTGGATTTAGGGAAATCCCATTGTGTTAGATGTCAAGTCTGGTGTAAATTTACTGGGTGGAATTCCATCCTGAGAATGTGAAGAGAGATTCCATTATCACAGAAGCCCAGAATGGTTTGGGTTGGAGGGGATCTTAAAATTCATTCACTCATTCTACCCCCCCTGCCATGAGCAGAGACAACTTTCACTAGGCCGAGTTGCTCAAAGCCCAGTCCAATCTGGCCTTGAACACTTCCAGGAAGGGATATCCATTACCAATCTGAAGCATAAGCTGGGGTAGATATGGTTGGCATGAGCTTCTCTCTGTCCTGCAGGTAGAAAAGGGCAGCCTTATGCTCTGAGTCATGCTTGTCCTCCCAAACCTGGAGCTGTGCTGAACGCTACAGCTTCCACTTCAGCCAGTGATCTGGGGATTAAGAAAAAATTGTGTTTCCTTTAGAAATTCTGACAATACCATGTGACACTGAGAAATGCCTTGCCCGTGCCAGAAGATTCAAGCCATTTAACATCCCAAGTGTTGTGCTGTGGTGCATAATTAAAAAGACAACCCTGTGAGTGAGCAGTCCCTCTGTTTTGTGCAGCAGGTCTGGTGAGGAGGCTGGGACAGGAGGATTTGTCTTACCCTTGTGAGAAGTGACTGGGAGGTAATTATGCAAACTAACTCATGAATTACAACCAGGAGGATAGCAGCTAGTGATTATCTAACTCTACAAATGGGAAGTGTTAATTGGCAACAAAACCCTTATATTAAGCTGATTTTATGCCCCATAACTTCAATTAACATGGTAAATAACCAGAACACAGTAAATAAGGATATATAAAAAGCCTGTGATTACTGAAATTATACCAACAATTTAAATAGATTATGGCTGACCTCAAAACTTGCAGGCAAGTAAAAATAAACTCCATGTTGCTCCTTCTGTTGGTTTGTGTTCTGGAGCAGCCTCGTGTTGTGATGTCCACACTCAGAGGCAGTAGAAGGTCAGGATGTGCCCAGTGCCACATCCTGGGGCTGGGGGAAGCTGGACCTGAGCAGCAGTGTGGGACCTGTGCTCCTTGGGTGCCTTATCTCCCTCCTCACCTTCTTTTATGCAATGTGCAGCCTAGGCTGTCTTCAGGATTTTTCTGCTCATTTACCATAGTTCCCCAACATTTTTTTACTTTCCTGTTTAATTAAGTTCTTCTGTAACGTACACAAATTTAAAATGGGACTTAAAATTCCCAACAACATATGTTGCGTTACGTATATTTCTGGAAGCGTGTGACAGAGTTTGTTTATTTGGTGCTACGGGAGTTCCCCATAGGCTGCCTGCTCTGCCTTTCCTCCAGGAATCCTCCAAACACAAACATGAGGGGGTTTTTGTTGAATCTCCCTGCCCCCATAATCTTAAATAAACATGCTTGCACACGAGCAGCTGATGAATCAGGTTATGCCGGTCTTCTGCACTGAAATTCTGGAAAACTGCAGGAAATGCTAACATTAAAGCCACTAAGTCTGCTCTTCCATCTGTAGGTTGGCAAGTCACAAGGTGGGGGAATGTTCCTGAAAACTGAGATGTATAATTGATTGAAGAAGGTGAGAATGACTGTCTTTTCTTTGGGAATATCCAACTGGCATTTTGTTCTTTTGCTCTTTTTTCATCCTCTCCTTCTGCCAGTGCTTGGTCTGTTCTCCCATGCCATCCTTCTGCTGCATTCCTTCACCATTATCCAGGGTAACAATAAAGGTTTTTACAATGGATTTTCCCAAACGGCTGAATACTATCTCTGGGATCTGATTTTTTTATACTTCGTGTGCATATTTATATATAAACTCCCAATTTCAGGTACATCTAACACTGGGCAGCAACTGGGTTATATTATCATATGTATGTATAATATACACATTTGTTATATTTTTACTATCCATTCTTTGGGTAGTCCTGCACAGGGCCAAGAGTTGGACTTAGATCCTTGTGGGTATCTTTCAACTCAGGATTTTCTAAGATTCCAGCAGGGTAAGAAAAGGACTGTGCAGTTCTAGTGCTTGGTATTAGATGCATCAGATGAACCTTGTCACTTCCAACTCCTGCAAACACCTACAGGACTCGGCTGGCCAGTCGCTGCTGCTGTCACCCTGTCTCTCTCCAGTTCTTTTTCATTGGAAAACTGGTGTCACCAGATCACTGGAAATGACAGTTTGACAAATCAGCTCAGAACAAAGCTGAAATGTCACTCCTGGTTTTACTGTTAGTGGTTGAATTTTGGCAGCCTTTCTTCTTCCTTGGGTTCACAGAATGTAAGGAGAGGGTGATTCACGGGAGGGGACTATTTGATTTTCAACGTGTCACATTTGCTGCTGTATTGAGTTTGATAGCTTTCATTTGATTAACACATCTTCCCAAAAGGTATGCCACCTCAATTTGATGGTTTAGGAGACAGAGAAATCTATCAGTTCTCTCTGTGAAAGTTCAGCAGTGTTCACGCTCACTCTAAATGATCAAAAGCCTTTCCTGAGT